CCTTTTCTTTTTTTCCTTTTCTTTTTTTAGAGTTGTGACTACGAAGCATCTCGTGTCCACGATGAACAAATGTATACGAAAGTACTACGAAGGATAAGAAACGAGACGAAGAATGCATAATTGTACATGAGAGAAGGGGTTTTCGCGGAATGATATGAAGAAAAAAAAAAATAATAATAATAATAGAGGTGAATCGTCGATACCTCTACGATTTGAGTCGAGGAATAATTAATTATTAACTCGCAGCTTTGTTCCGTCCGTCTGCGCGACCGTGAATCTTTTGATTTCACCGGGTTCCTCGGTAGAAATCCTAAGTCACATAATACATAAATACACATACCCATTAAATGCGCGTTTATTACGCATTACACACATTATACACATATGACGTACATTTACATTGTACGTAACTTAATGCATAAGTGAAACGTACACACGATATATTAAACGGTGGAGAGACAAAAAAAAAACGATAACAGAGGCGTAAATCGTAAAACATTGTAAAAAGAATTTAAAAAAAAAAAAAAAAAAAAAAAAAGAAAAGAAAAAAAAGAGAAAAAAACATGGTAAAAACTGGAAGCGCCAAGACCCCTTCCCCAGTTCTTACACTGAGTATTAAATCTGTACTAATCGACTGAGTATTATTTTTATATCGAGCGTAATAATATTAATAAACGGATATAAATTAAAAAAAAACGTGAGACACGGATTGGTGAGTTAATCGTACGTGAAGCCGAGAAAGAATTATTGTAAAGGCAGTGGATGATGAGAGATGCGTTTTCTTTTTCTTTTCCTTTTTCTTTTTTTCAAATTCAAGTGATTGAAAATAAAAGAGAAAGAGATGTGGTATGGAACGAGAAAATATAGAGCGCGCGATTTATTAATTATTATTGTTCGAAGAATAGAAAGAAGGGAAAAGAAACGAGAAAGAGAAAGAGAAAACGCATGCGACTGATGATTATGAGTGCCCTGATTACAATATTTTGTATACAACCATATAATGCGAACCGAGCGAAGAAAGAAACAATTTCGAATGAAAGAAGCAACAAAGAGATAGAAAAAGAGAAATAATTAATGTCGAAATATTCTAATGCACGATCTGATGAACCAGCGTTATGTATTAAGAGCGTTGCGGAGCTCTGACAGGCCGGAAACTAACTTAAAACAAAAAACTCGTTAGCATATTTATGCACTGTATGTTATTAAATACGCGATGATATAGCAATAGAGCGATAACGAAACGATGACAAAAAAAAGATATAAAGAAGAAAATGAATTACTTTTGTATCCACAAATATTTACGATAATAAGTTAGTTCGGGCTAAGGCCAGCAGCTGTTGAGATTATTCATGGTTGTGTGTATCATTATAAGTATTTTGAATTGTTGAATAGTAATTAGTGTAAGCGGTGGCTTGAACGGGGCGACGTCCAGCGCCCACGAATGCATCATGAAGAGACGTCGCGTCGTCCAAGTTCGGTCTCAAATATTTCAGAATTATCGGATATTTCTTCTCTTCGTCATTTGAACATTTACCCTTCGTACAATCGACCTGCTAAATTCACTTTGCCTGTGTTTTAATATATACATATATATACATATATGTATACATACATACATACATACATACATACATATATATATATATACACATGTATACATATACATAATATATATATATATATTATTTTTTAATATTGTATTTGTAATGAGTCATATATCCCATATATGAAATTGTTGGGATCCTTTTTTAATTTATAATTTTAACGTGAAGCACATCGATAAGGGAAAAATTACCCATGACAGGTGTACCTAAATACTCCATTGATATTACGGGTGTAATTTTTCAAAGATATTTTGTATCTTTTTATGTATTATTTCTCCGATTCAAAAATTTCATCTATCATCTTTTATTTTTTTTTTTTTTTCTCTCTCAACGAGAATCTTTTAGAGAGAAATCTCTTTCTTTCTTTTTTTATATCATGTAATAATAAGATGCCTGTTAAACATTTCTAAACTATTTATTGAGTTTCTATGTGATTTGTTAAAAGTTCTTTTATAGACCACTTTTTTCTTTTACTTTTTGTCTTCTTTTAATTTCGAGACCATACTTTGTACACATGCACGTGATTCTGTCAACGATTCATCAATGAATCTTTAGGGAAAAAGGAAGATAGAAAAATAAAAAAAAAAAAAAACAGAGCGAGAATTGCGATTACTCGACGTCTCTTATTTTTGCGCCTACCGCCTAGCTAAGTCAAAAAAGTATTGTACGTACTGTGTTTGTTGTAAGCACGTTTGCTTTCTTTTTTTAATTCTTTTTTTACTCGATTTTCTAAATATATTAAAAATCAACGTTTGTTCTTAATTCTCTTCTTTTATTTTTTTTTTTGTTCTCTTTTTATCACACATAAGATCGTCTGTTTTACGCAAACATGTCGATACAACAGACACAGAAGATCGCTGGGCAAAGGACCAAAATGTACAACTGCGTTTGCCCTTTCTTACGGTTGGTACGATTCGTTTTTATAAACGTATAAAACGAGATCGAAGCTGTAATTGTATCGAAGGATTTTTAAGCAATGTTGACAGATTTATTTTGGGGGGCATCTTATTGCAAGGGCATTGTTGTGATACCACAGATGCAGCTTCATTGAAACTTAAATAAAAAAGTAATGCGTTAATGATTTGTTACGATCAATGTTTACTACCATTGGATGCGTGTGTTTGATACTGTATATGAGGAATATAATTTTTTTATATAAAAATCTATTCGGGAATGAAACACTAAAACGAGTCGATATCTTTTTATTGAAATAATGTCATTTTACATTATTCTCCATTTTTCACATTTTAAAATGTGGAATAACATTGCATTAAAAATTTTTGTACTTTCTTTTGCTTTAGATAAAATGAACAATTTTAACTGTTTTTATCTTTTTTCTCTTTTTCTTTTCATACAAATTATCACGAGTTTAAATTTGAAATTATTCGGACATTGAACGACGTGAGTCATTTTATATCCGATATAATGAAATTATTTATAAAACGCATAAATATTTTTATAAAATATATGAACAAATTAGAATGAAATTCAGATATTTAATAAAAAAAATATTGTTAATATTAAATAATTTTTACTTTTTTTAGAAAGTGTTTGTATTTTTAATCTTTATTACTATTTATTTAAATTATGAAATCATAATCATTTATTTCAAAGATTATTACTAAATTAATGAAAATATATTTTATTTATTTTATTTATATATTATGAAAAAAAAGATTTTGTATGAAAAAAACTTGAAGTTGATGTACGTAGTAAGAAATTTTATTTACGTCATTTCCTACCATATTGCGCCTTGAATTCATTCTTCCGTTACTCGCCATCTTGTCTTTGATGTGCGCGGATGTCTAGTACTTGATCTGAAACTGATTTTTCATATTGAAGTGTTCTTTTTATTATTTCTGAAGATCAAAAGAAATTTAAGAAAATGAGTTACGGCAGACCACCGCCTCGTATTGATGGGATGGTTTCCTTGAAAGTGGATAATCTTACGTATAGAACGACGCCGGAGGATTTGAGACGCGTGTTCGAAAGATGTGGTGAGGTCGGCGACATTTACATCCCTAGAGATCGCTTTACTCGAGAAAGTCGTGGATTTGCATTCGTCAGGTATATTAAAAAATAAGTTTTTTTTTTTTTTTCATATTTATCCATCTTAGTTACATTCTGTTTATTAGAATATATGAATGTGACGTCATTGTGTCATATTTAGACAATGAAGTAGATAGTAACAAATATCACAATATATATTATCCAATTAATTACTTATTCGTCATAAGTCGAAGATAACATTTTTATTACTGTGAATCTTTATTTTAGATTCTATGATAAACGCGATGCGGAAGATGCATTAGATGCTATGGATGGAAGGCTGTTAGATGGTAGGGAACTTAGAGTTCAAATGGCACGATATGGACGACCAACTTCACCACACCGAAGTCGTGGCAGTCGTCGACGAGGAAGGTGATTACTATCAAAATACTTCTCATTACGTATATAATTTTTAAAATTTTAATTTTGAAATAACTTTATTAACGACATTATTTGTAGATCACGTAGCAGGAGCAGAGATCGAAGACGCTCACGTTCTAGATCACGTAGTAGATCAAGAAGTCGTGATAGAGATCGTAGGCGTTCATATAGTCGCAGTCGTAGTCGTTCGCGTTCTGACAGTAAAAGTTCACGTGGAAAGTCTCGTTCTCGTAGCAAGTCTCCAGATAGACAAAAAGATAGTCGTTCCAAATCAAGGTAAATTTTATATTTATAGATTAAATTTTTAGATATTAGGATTTGCGGTAGAATATAAATATTCATATAATTTTATCTTTACAGGGACTGAAGTTGAACCATATACAAGTACAACTACAAACAGATGCACGCGCCGCAAGTGCAGAATAATCGTTTCTTGAGAACAAAAAAGGTATTCTATTACCCTCTATATCTAGAGCAACACTGTCGCACGTTCACATTTTTTCTGTCACTTACATATTAATTATGACAACGCACTTCTTGGGTGAAAAAGATAAAACCCAAAAACTAATTTTAATGTAATGTATCTAGAATGTTAGTTTATTGGAATCGCGAAGATTTTCATTTGCAAGTTTTCATAATTATTCTTACTCTGTTAAGTGATATATTGTCTCAAGCAGTGCTTATTCCTGATCAGAAGAAAGTAAATGTGTTTTTCTGTTTTCGCGTGTATGGACGTTGTTATAGCGACCGAAACAGCTTGTTTTGATCAATGAATTAAAGTTTGTTATAATATGCTCTAGCACTTATATAAATGATATTTCTGAATTCTGCTCTTAAAGGTAAATTTGAATTTTGGATAAATAGAGCAGACAATATTCGAATTTACACTTTATAAATAAATAAAAAGAATTGTTATTAGTTTGATCATATTTTTATCTTATATTGAAATATAGTGTGCACAATTTTTAGTATATCTCGATATAAGTGGATTAAAAACAATAACATTTCATTATTTCCCTTCCACTTCTTGAGTCATTATGAATACTTTAAACCACATAATATAATTAAGTAATAATTAGAAACCAACTGTTTCGATAAAATATCAATTGTGAAATCGTTTTCTGTTATTTTGAAATTGTTTGAATCAAGCAAGGTGGATTAAATTATTCCTGGAAATACATGAGGGTGTTAATATGGTAATTAGCAGGTAATGTAAACTGTATGTGGTCGACTTGAGTCCGACTTCTGTATAAATTTTAAGCTAATATTTTTAAAAGAATTTTGAGTTCTTAGTTTTCTATTATTTATGATTACCTAACTCTCGATTGATAAATTAATATTACGACACAATTAATCTAAAAAAGAAGAGAGAGAGAGAGAGAAACAAGAAAAATTAAAATCGCGATATATATATACATACATATATATATATATATATATATAGATTGTAGACATAAGTTCTGCGTTTCTGTAATACAGTATACAGATTTATTTATGTAAGTTTGCCATTTATAATAAAGTGTAATAAAATGCAGAAGACGGAACTATTCACATAGTTTTAGACAGTGTTTAAATACTACACATATAGATGTAGATAATACTGTCAAAAAAATAATTTCAATTATGAAATTTTATATTATTTATATTTATCTATGAAAAAATTTAAATATCGTAATTTTGTATTTTCGACTATCTAGTACAACAAACTAAAAACATAATGTCCCCAATCGAGATATAAATTTGATAACATAGTAATCAAACAGATATATTTTATATATTTTTCAAAATTTTTATTACTATAAACAATATTTTAATCATTTATTTCTAAATATTATTTCCTCGAATTTTGTATAAGACAACATTAATCGTAGATAACTAATCTTAGGTAAACTATTTTTTAAAACTAAATTTTAGTATTTAAAATTGACTTTATTGTTATTAATATTATAATTAATCGATCGTCAAACATCTTTCAACAAAAGATAAAAAGATATAAAAATCCTCACACACGGATGTAACACGTTTATTCCTTATAACTAAGTTGTAATTTTATGGTGCCACAGGCGGTGGAAAGGAGTGGCGTGGCGAGTGTAGCTGATGATGGGGTAGCTGAGAGTAAGCAGTAAGCCGAGTAGCAGGGCTGTAAGCAGTTTGCAGTAGCGAGCGGTTGGTGGTCTGGTGAAAGCAGGTTCGCGCGAGTCGATCAGGGCGAGAAAAAGAGAGAAAGTGTGTGAGCGAAAGCTGTCTCTCTCTCTATGGGGGGTCGGCGTGCAGAAATTGCAGAGGGTACGGTCTCGAGAATGCAGACAAATTTGCAGAGAGCACAACGAAAAGCCACACACAGTTGCTGGTCTTGACCACCGTCCGGTTTGCAGGTAGCACGTGAACATCACCAGACCTCGCGAGCGACGACTCGACATTTCAACTTTTATGTCTACCAATTGTTTCGCGTATTTCTTAAAAGAGATTTTTGGCAATGTTGGTTTATTCGAAACCAACTATATATTTTATTCCCAGCTATATAGGTTTGATTCGTAAGTTACGAGTTTCGCATCAAAGTGATTTAATTTTATAGTTACATTTTATAAATTTTTTAAAAGTAGTTTTTTTCAAAATAATTTAGTACATGTAATGAATTTTTAAAACAAATTTTATTTTGATTTTCACCTTTTTTCTTTCTTTTTTTATTTTTTTTGTTTTGTTGCAATTTTTTCTATACAATTTTCAATTAAAAACTTGTTAAATCCATTTGTTTAATATATTTACAAAAGAGTCTTGCATCGCATATCGTTCTCGGTAAGATCTATAAAATTAATTTTTATATGATCATCGCTTGAAACACTTGCCGCCACATTTCAAATAATTGAAAAAGGTGAGGGAGGGAAATGGGAAAATTCTTTTGCTTTTCCTGTGTTTTTTTTTCAGATTTTTCAGGCACTCGTCATTAAAATAGTAAGTATTTTAGAGGTAAGACAATGTCACAGTTAATAAAAGATTTTTTTTTTAAGGAAAGAATGGAATCTTTGTAGAGAAATGAAGAGTTCAATCAATAAAGAATTCTTGTTGAAGAAATAGAACTTTTTATTCTTATTTATATAAATAGATTATTATTGTAAACCCTCTAAATATTTAAAAAAAGTCTTACTTTTTAAAATAATATAAATCTATAATCTTTAATAATTTTTTTAAATTATAATAATAATAACAACAAGAAATATTTTACACTTTTTTGACATCATTAAATAATTATTGACTAGATGTCAAATTTTTATTATTTATATTTTAAAAAAAAATATCTTTTAGCACTATGCTAAAAATATTTAGATGGCTTTATATGTAAAATTACACTTATATTAAAGAAAAAATTTTCAATGTTTTAAAAAATCTTAACATCATGCTAAAAATATTTAAATTTTATGCGTAAAATTATGCGAAATGTGTTATAACGCACATTTCATTTAAATAATCTTATGTTTCTAAATATTAAAGACATGCAATTTTATGATGTAAAAAAAAATCACAGGCTACTTGTCCTTATCCCTATTCTCTGTACTTTTTTTCAAAATATATGGCTTGCAATAGAGAGCACTTATGTATAATAAAAATGCTATGATATGTCCAGAAAAGTATACTTGTTTACAAAACTGTAAATTTTCTTTAAAATCTAATACTAAGAATTGTGTTCCTAAATATGCCATGCAAGTTGTTTTCTCATACCATCCTACTATATACCACAATTTTTTGGCCTAAAATGAAAAGTAACATAATGAATGTCATGAATGTTATTATATTATATATATATAATATAATATAAGAATAGATATTAAAAATAAAACTTACAATACTATTTTCTTTACTTTGTTGATAGAATTTTATAATTATATCTTCAGATAACAGAAAAAGAGGAATCTGACAGTTACAGAGAAAATAACCAGATGACCAACCATGCCAAATAGCAGAAAGTGTTAGAGTTGCAAAAGTTCGTAAACTTTTCAATGGAAATCGTTTATAAATGTAAACACCAAACCAGTATTGAACACAACCATTCCATGCTTTCATAGCTGTTCTTGTTGAGTTACATTTTTCTAATTTCCATACGTTCATATTATATACAACATCAAAATTTAATTCTTCATTTTTCACTTTTTCAGGCATTTTAGATCTGTAATATAATAGTAACTGATGTATTTTCGTTTCAAATTATAATATTATTATATTGAGAGAAAAAGCTATTCTTACAGTTCCTCTGTTGTTTTATAATCTTTAGGTCCTAGTCCTTGTATAGGAGTACATTTTATGGGATATGCACCTAGTCCAGCCATTTGACAACCACATTCTGCTAGACCCATTCCAATATACATTCTTAATCGAAAAACTATAAATGTGGGATACATATAAAAGTGTCTATAAAGGAAAGATCGTTCTGCATATTCCTCAGTTAAAATGTACTGAAATATAAAATGGAACCTAAATATTCATAATTCTATCTATATCTATTAAAGCAAAGGCTGATATTACTCTGACAGGATACAAGTAGTCCATTATAAAAAATAACACAATAAAACATGCAATTTGTTTAAGTTTATAAAATGTGAGAGGCCATGGATCTACAATTTTAGAGAATGGTCTGTGTAGATGATCCCAATATGTTCTATATCGATAATATGGTCCTATAGAGAAAAATGTACTGTTTAAAATAATATTAAAATTAAATTACTTTTAACAATTAAGTATTACAAAAATTCATACCAGTCATAAGTCCCATATAGCCAAATCCATAATGAAAAACATCTAGGAATCCAATATTTTTCATTGCTTCAGAATTTATTCCTTGTATATCATCAGCTGGTGCATTAATAGAATCATTTATTTCAAATGCTAATCCAGATAATTTTAATGTTAATATCATAAGTATTAGATTGGTATGACTTGGTGCTATTGGTAAACCAATATAATCTCCTAATCGAGACAAAAAAAGTAAATAAAAAAATGAAAAATAAAAGCTGATCAAGTGGCATTTCCTGTAAATACAAAAAGAAAAAATTATGTTGCTATATTTTATTTTAAAAGTAATATATGAAAAATATATATATATATATAGTCATGTAAAAATTTAAGTTCATATAAAAATTTCTTAAAATTAAATTAAACTTTACATTTTAAATTATTTAATTGAATAAATGAATAAATTTTTTTTTTGATTTATTGCATTTTATTTCATAATATAATTAAATTATAAGTTTAATATTCTTAAAAACATGTATTAATATTCATTTTCGAGAATAACTAATTATTAGTTAATCATCAATAATTACTCAATTAATCAATAATCATTGAAATTTAATTGTCATATATGAGTTCTTTTTTTAAAATAGTTTATTAATTCTCTTGAGAATAAATGAATATTAATACATTTAAAATAATAACTTTTAATTATTTATAACTTAAAAACAAAATTATATTATTAAATCAAATACAATAAATAGTATTAAATGTGATAAATTATCAATTGTTTTAAGGATATATAATTTGGTAACATGAAGATTGTTATATGATATCGACTAAAATAAAATAGAACATTTTTAAATTAGTAAAAAATATATAAAAAATTAAGTAATATATCATACTTTGGCGAAAGCTTGGTTATGATAATTGCATTAATTAGAGTAAGTATGAAAGGATAAAGTATATAATTTCCAGAACAAATTGCCATCACTACAATACCAATAATTGTGCCCATCCATTTTTTTACATGTGGATCTTCAATTTTTCGATAATAAAACCCGATAAATACACAAAATAATAACAGTGAAACGTAAACGATATCCGACCACATCTCGTAAGTTTTGCTGCCGAAACTCTACTGCGTTCTGTATCATTTCCGTTCTTTAGTATGCATATATACTATACATTAATAAATTCGTGAA